CCCCCCACCCACTGGAATCAATCACCCATCACAACTTGCCGACCTGTGCTCCAGCAAGCTTCCGAAGTCTCAGCCGGCTTTAGATGGAGGAAAGCTCTCATAATTTGAGAATGGAGAATAAAGGGCCGGGGGGGAGTGATAAGGATTCCTGTCCCAGATGCTCATCCGTCTATCATTCATCCATATTTGATGGGACAGCTGGATTCTTGGATCCTTTCGGAACCCATCAGGTGGTGACACGTGTCATACGTGCTTCTTACCCCAAGCGCTGACCAACTTTGTAAATATTTACATACACTATAGAAGTGACAGAAATGATTTCACAAATGGATTTTGAAATGCAGTAGGTAATAGTTTTGCTCATGAGATAAAAGCAACAATATTTGGTCGCTACCCGGCTTCCAAATGGCCATCTGTCACAGACTGCAAGTTGCTGTATCTTGCTCGGCAGTACCATTTCTCCCCCACAATTATAATAAATAAAATAGTGGATAGTAGATTGCCTTTTTTATACTTTCGACTACTAGAATAGCTGAACTTTATTACTCATGAGTGAATACCAGTTGTGAGTCTCCAGAACCATACGAAGTGGGTCCATGAATACATGTATTTTCTGTGTGGACTGGAGGTAAATTGGTCCTGAAGTCAAACCCTGCTGCACCAGTCTTTGTGTTGTAACCACATCTTTAATAAGTTTTCTGAGGTAGATTTTAGGGTATCTTCTTGTTGTAAGGAAACATTTTAGTTATCATTTATCTTAATCCAGTTTCTTGTCTCAGTTTCTTTGGATTGACAGAATATGATGATTTTAGTCTGTTTTTATGTGTGTATCTAATAAAACTGAAACCTCAAATGTTCTGACTCACATCCTCTCATGGCTTTGGGACAGCCCAACTGCAAATCAGGGTTTTACTTTTTGGTTCTTTTTAAAGCTGACCCTCTGCGTATGGAGGGGAGGGGAGGCTAAATTTGAATGCTGTGGATTGTTGTTGAGCTATCTGTGTCCAGGTGGCAGAGACGTCTTGGATTTGGTATGATTGGGTTGTAGAATACATGGGCCACGTCAGCAAACATTAAAAGGACTGGCAGTTCAATGAACTTTGATGATCACATAGCCCAAGCTCTGAGGGACACGATCCAACTGCTTGTAATGCCATGGCCCAGATTGGTGTATCTCCTACTTTTATCTATCTGGAGCTAAATGTGTACACACATATACACACACACACACACACACACATATATATATATATATATATATATATTATTTAAATAAATATAAAATATTAAAAAATATTCATGTATTATATTGTACAAATTGTTGCTCAACAGTAGCTGAAAAATTGTACATACAAGGTCAAATTCTTGAAATTTTGAAACACAGTTTTAGAAAGAAAAAATAAATGTACGAATTAAATCATATATATATCTATATATATATAAAGAACATTTCATGTACAGAAGATAAGTTCAACATGTAGACACAGATTAAGATAGAGTAGCTCCCATACTTTTTGCCTATTACTGTTAGGATTCTCAGTTGTTTGATACATCCTACCACTACTTGTTAACAAACCTGTAATCACAAAGTTGCTTAATTTGACCTTACTCCCTTCTTATCTTTTCTTGTAGCAACTTAGTCCAAGGCCAATAATAAAAAGATTTTACACAAATATGTGATGACTTATTTTTCTAATCTAGGATGTGTTGAATAGGATTTGGATTTAATATAAAGTAAGAAGAGGTCTGAAAATGGACCAAATCATTATATTTTTTACTAGACTAAATATATCAATTCATATATTAGTTTAAATAATTATGAAAAAAAATATACAATTAGATTTCTTATTTGAATGGATATTTAAAAACATTAAAATAAAAATAAAAATGGGGACAACTTTTTAAACTTTTTTAAAAAACATCTCTTAAGGTGGAACCAGTAATTTTTTTAGAAAACAACACTATTTATACTATGTGAATAAATGAGATTTTCACCTCATTTATTTCTTCTTAAGGTTTTTTGACTCATTTTTCTATGTTTAAAGACTTTTCAATTTCAACCTAAAAACAAAATTTAACAACTGTGACCTCTCACCTTGTCTACTGAGTATAAAGACTCCGTTATTTCTTCAAAATTCTTTCATCAATACTAAAATACTTCTAAACCATACCACCTAGACAAGGGAAAAAAAAACAAAACAAAACAAAACAAAGAAAAAAAATAATGAAAATTGTATTTTTTATCCAAACATCTATACATGTAGTATATTTCTATTTACATATAAAATTCATGTGTTTTTTACATTATCAATAAATATTTAAATATTATATAATATTTTATATAATATAAAAAATTATAATATGATTTTTATATGGCTATCATGTTTAATATGAAGAAGATAAAGATTCAAGAGGACATAAACCAATATCATCTTATTATATGTTAAGAGAGCTATTTTGTACTTATCAATAATGCAAATACTCAAAATTTATTGCAGAAGTAGCTTATTAAAATATAATATAGTAATACTATTACTAAGAAGAATATTCTATTATCTTTTTTTATTTGCAAAATAAACATGTGGATTTAATATTGAGAAGATATGTACATATAATTTGAAGTTGTTTATTAAATCCAAACAATTAAAAAAACAGATTTTGACTATGATAAAAATATTATTTGTTGCTTCAGTTTACATAGGATTTAATACATATCTTATGTTATTCTTGATAGCAAACAATAAAAAGAATAGCAAGCCACTTGAATTTATTGCAATAGAAGTGGACATGAGAATAGTAAAATAAAGATGATGGTAAGGTACAAAATCTTATAAAATTGAATTTTAAAAAATTAAAAATTATATTTAATCATGTAAAAAATGAATCATATAGATAAGGACATCAAATAGAAAAGAAACACACTTTTGCAAGTGCAATATTTTGACTTAACCATTGTAACTTATACTGGTCATTTAAATTTCTAAAATCAAATTACAAAATTCAAAATCAACATTAGATTATTTAACATTACAATTATGTTGATAAAAAATTACAAATTTCTATTTTCATTATTTCAAAAGCTCTTCTTAAAAATATCTCACTTTCATTTTATTTTTATTTTTATTTTTTGGTACGGTTCCGAGCTGGGTGAGAATGGTACAAAGAGCCTGTGATTGATAATCTCTTGCCCAGTTCAGGATCCAATGGACTGTCCCTTCACAAAGACCCCTGTTCCCAATCATCACTTGCTATTCTTCTCACTTGCTGCTCATTCATGCATGAATGCATTATAGTAAATAAACAAAGGTGGTATTGGGGCGGATCATGGAGGATGTAGCTTTAAAGTAATATTTTTATATCCAGGGCAAAGTATGTGGATATGAATTTCTGTGCACATATGTAAATGAAAAAAAATTTGGGTGCCTGTTATAGTGCTCTAAAAATCATTTCTGGAAGCTTTGTGTAGCCTCTAAATGCTTGAAGGCTTCTATGAATAAACTCTGCTGAGCTTTCTTGAGGATTCATGGGCATTGTTTCAGCATGTACATTTTGTGTTACTATGTAATATTAATTTAATCTTGTGTAAACTAATTTTTATATCTTGTGTATTTTGGTAGATTTCTTTCATTTTTTAATTTTATGTATGTGTTTTTACTGTTATTAATAAAATGAGTTACTCATGTCACATATTTTCAAGAGGTATTTTATAAAATAGATATTTATTTTAAATATGATTTGTAATTTTTCCTTCAAACAGTTGCATACTGCACAGTCATTATATTTGTATTTGTCAAACTCACATTAACCTCCATTCACTACCACACAATCCACAGAAAAATGTACAGTTGTCACACCTGTAATCAACTTCCCCTTTTAGAGCAAACCCCATTCATGATGCATGCAGAATCACATGACAAGACACACACACATCAATAATTTCCTTAATCTACATGCCCCACAGTTCAGTGTTCATTCTTTGTGTCACCTCAAATTTCACAAATGAAACCATATACTTCTGTACACACACATTTGTATACATACAAGGAATTGTTAAATTGACCCACATATTTCTAAATTTATCCACCCATCCTAACCATCATCACAAAATTCTCCAGTACCAAATCCACATTGATCAAAAACCAATGAAAAAATGGTTGGATCCTCAACCAATAATGTTGGGTGGGTTGATTTAGTAAATGCGTGGGTAAACTTAACAATTCCCTAAATATATCTATCTTTCCTTAGACTTGTGTAGAAATTTGGGACGCAGACTCGGCAACAACAAGAGTGGGGGACATCATGAATTGGAGTGGAGAAAGGGATCGTAGCCACACAAGCAAGCGCGACGTGGCAACACCAGCGTGGAATCCACGTCGGCCATGCGGTGCAGCCAGCTGTCGCAAGTGACTGGAAAAAAGAGCGCCGCGAGGCGGCGGCTGAATCCAGACACGGATGCTCGCTCTCTCTCACACACACAGCGACGGACGGACGGACGGACGATGCGAGGGAGTGAAGGCCAATCCTGATGGTCAATCCTGGAGTGTGCATGGAGCAACCGCGAGGAATTATTTCGCGGATACGCCATAAGCAGGTGAGTGAGGCGAGTGAGGCGAGGAAGAGGGGCAAGGGCGAGGATTCCAAGCATGGGGTGGAGCTGTAGGAGTTGGTAAAACTGTACCGCATCACCTCTGTCACATGATTTGCCAATGAGTTGCTTTCGAATGCGATGTTCGACTGGTAGGTCCGTGCCGCTTTGGGAATAACATCAATTATCACCCCTCCAAAAGCAACGAATTGTTTTTGGGCTAAAGACGTGCACGCCGATTTGGCTGAATGGGACCAATCTACATTATTGGACCCCAGCCGTGGCAGCCCAACCTCCAAAGCCAACGCCAGCGTCCCCCCAAGCAACGCGTCCATCCTGGCATGGCGACACCACTAGCTTAACAATAGCAGCCCACCTCATGGTTAATTGGTTTCCCTAGCCCCGCTCCCTCCCCCCTCCCCCCAACCACCTCCGACCCGCTAAGCGACACTGGACTCCTAAACCATACAGCTTCTCCGACATACACATACGTGACTCGGCTGGAATGCTTGGCGGTATGACTGTTGTTATGAGGTTTGGTCAATTCAGGTGTGCACAAGGAGCTCATATATGTTCACCTTTACTTCGTCGACCTGAGCATAGAGCTCTACTTTTCGCTAGTCTGGCGCTGCATATTCTCATAGACTCGGTTGAAGTGTGTGATAACGCTTCTGTCGATCTCTGTTTGGTTTGTACTCGGTGGTGACTGTTGTCTGGCTCCCGTTCATGTGAATTCCTGCTGCGTGGACATGATCTACACGGGACTGGCATGTGGGGTGACGCTTCGTAAGGACTAGGCTGATGAGTGGAAACGTTGGAAAATTGATGGTGTAGAGATTCGAGAAGGTGCAATTGTATCAGATGAAGATGTTGTTGATATTGCTAGAATAGGGATGAGGTTGGAATACAGCGCTGGTTGCTTACGTTGTGAAGGCATTTTTTTATCTCGGTTGAAGACTAAAGTTAGTCGGGGGATTAGAGGTTGTGAGTTTGGAAGAGGGGTACTCACATCAGCTGTCAGATGGATGCCTGCTACTCCTCGTCGACGGTGGTGTTGCTTCTGTTGGTGTTGAGCTGCATGCAATTGGTTGTACAAGGCTCCTTAGATAACCAATACGGTCTCAGAAAATCCTACTACGGGGTCTCGTGTCCCAACGCCGAGGAGATTGTTACTAAAACTGTGACCAAAGCAGTGAAACACGACTCCCGATCAGCTGCTTCACTTGTGCGCTTATTTTTCCATGACTGCTTTGTCTCGGTACCGATGGACTTCGCTCTTTTCCTCAATTCGCCAATGCCCATAACTGAATCTAGAATTTTGCATGCAGTAAACGAGATATACATCATTATGTCAAGTTATTTGTTTTTTTTTTTTTTGTTTTGTTTTGTTTTGTTTTTTTATGTTTTCATATTAATTTTCCAAGCTCCAGAACAATTGCGCAAACATTAAGTATCAACATGTCTTGGTTTTTAAAGGTCATAGAGTATGAGCCTGACGTGTTTAGAGGGTAGAAAATTGCTAATTCAATGAATATCTCTCTGTTCGTGTTTCTGTGGAAATTGTCCACCTGGGGTAATCGAGAGCTTTGTCTTTCATGTAATTCGAACTAAAGGAATTTCTACTGGTCAATGCCTTAGTTTATCTGAAACTGAGTTTCGCGGACCTTTTGAGTTAGAAATTGAGTCTTGCTGAAGCGTTCTATGGTCATACACTCCAACGTTGTAACAAGCAATTGCACACTGATTGCTGCGCCCAGGGTTGCGATGGATCGGTGCTGCTGGATAATTCCACCACAGCAATGAGTGAGAAAGAGGCTCGTCCCAACATCAACACATTACGCGGATTCGGAATCATTGAGCGCATCAAGGAATCGCTTGAGAATGCTTGCAGTGAAACCGTCTCATGTGCTGACATATTAGCTCTTGCTGCCCGAGATTCTGTCGTTCAGGTAACCAAAATTCAGTCTCATGAATTGAGTTAATCCCATAAGATGGCCAAAAGAGTCAACGAATTCTTCCCAGGACTTCTGAGATTAGGACTACACTTCTGAGCAAGAGATTTGACTGGGCAACTTCAACGCATGAATTGATGACATTAGATTTAATATGTGGCAGACTGGAGGGCCCCATTACGACGTATTGCTGGGTAGACGAGATAGCATCATAGCCAACTATACTGGTGCTAATGCTGTGCTTCCGTCACCAAAATTCAACGTTACGACTCTCACGAAAAAATTTCTTGACGTCGGCTTGACCTCGGAGGATATGGTCACTCTATCAGGTTGGCATTCGAACCTCGTTTGGAGCTCACGCTTCTCGTTGTGCTACGACACTGGTAGAAATCAACGATTCACGATTTTCTCATGCAGTTGTTGAGAAATTTCAAGTGATGTTTGCTCATTTTCACAGGTGCCCACACAATTGGCAAGACTCACTGTACCTCGATCACAACTCGCCTCTATAATCAAAGCGGAACCACCAAGCCCGATCCCGCCATTCCAGCGGAGATGCTCAGAAAGCTGCAAACCAAGTGCCCGAACGACCCTACCGACCTCAAAACAACACTCGTTCTGGACGACGAGACTCCCGAAGTCTTCGACAATCAGTACTTCAAAAATCTTCTAAACAAACGAGGTATTCTGTATTCAGATCAAATTCTGGCAGACACGGAAGGGTTCAACCTCGACTTAGTGAACTTGTATGCCAACGACCAGAACGCTTTCTTCGACGCATTCGTAAAATCGATGACGAGGATGGGAAACATCAGCCCTCTGATGGGAACGAGCGGCGAAATCCGCAAACGATGCGACAGAGTGAATCTGTAAAAAGAAAACTGCTACACATCGGTATAACTCAGTTTAGATTCGTCTAATTGCAGGTGGTGTGCAGTTCTGGTGCTCAAGAGTGCAGGCCTCTCTTCAGACACAAGTCTGAGAGGGGTCGAGAAATAAACTCCTGGAACAAGTGAGCTGTTCTCGCATGCGATGTAGTCACTGTACAATATGAAGGAAACCATTCACCACCAGATTGTTTCTGTCACTTAGTTTTCTACGTGCCATTGAAATTTACGGAAGCGATCTCCTTGTGACTTCCTTAGATGAACAAACAATTTAGGTTCAATTTGCTGCGTGAAATCAACTCCAGGGAACTGTGTTGATTCGTTCATATAGTCACACGTCGAGAGATCCGTGTGTGTGCGACGATTTACTGTGTCCCATCGCAGTCGGAGAAGAGAAGCTTCCGAACTCTAGCTCCAGTCGCTCTGCAACAAATCTGCAAGCTCATAGCAAAACGTTTACATGACAGTGTAGGTTTTGTCTACTGTAACCAGTTTGGAAGATGCGAGTTGAGTGAGACAACGACCAATCTGCTCGGTGTTAAAAATAGATGATGCATTCAGAGGAACAAGCTTAATAGCTGGATTATAATGTGCGCTGACGCTGAATATACAGAGCATGGACTCTTCCTAACCTCGACATTACCAGTGGTAAGAAAGCAACAGTATGTGGTGAAAAACTATTCAGTGATTCATAAACTGGTAATTTAAGGATGAAGCGAATTGACTGCCATCGTGTGAAAGCATGAATGAACAATCTATCGATGGACAAAAGTTCGGTGATCAGGATGGCATCATGCCACGTAAGATTGCCGAAGTGGAAAAATGTCTACCCATTTCATAATATTTCATACAAATTAGATTGCTATTCTACTCCATTAATGGTGAATGGACCCAGCACCTTTTAGCCCAATATGCAAAAATGAGTAGAAACCTAGGTGGAGAAGAAGGAACGGCGTTTTACCAACCACACCTTCCCCTCGCTGATCCCAAGAGCTTGTACTCACATGCAAGTTGCGACCCACCCCGCGCTTTCGCTTGGTCGGCCGCGCGGGCTGTGGTGCGATGCGTCGTGGACAGTCTAGCTTGGGTTTTCTTTTTGTTGTGACATGAGCTCTGCTTTGATGTCTCTGTATCGCTTCGCCGTGCCTGTTCAGTCCTCGTTACATGTGAAATCTGCTTACTCCGAGGTTTTCCTCAAGAGGTTTGGGTATGGCTTCTGTTCATGGTACGGTAACTCGTTGGCTGCATTCTGAGTTTGTAGAAGTGTAGGCTCTATGCGAGGGGGTCACTGTTGGATCTCTTTTCACCTTACTCAGGACTCGACGCAACTGTTGTGTAGATCGTGGTTTGAGTTGTGCTGCAGAACATAGTTTCTAGCTGTGGTTTGTGATGTATTGGTATGTGGTTGGGTTGTGGTCGGTATAGATCTTCCGGGTAATTGCTTACAGCAGGGAAGATTCATTGCTTCTGGTGTATTTTTGTTAGGGTATCTTCATTTGGGGGATGATGGTCGGTAATAATCGGTAGAGCTTATTCTTGCAGATTGTAAATGACCTGCAGCCTTTTGTATCGTTTTTGCTATGGCTAACAGTCGATCGGAGCTGCCCATTGACTGCTTCAGTCTCTGTACTCCGCTGCAATGGGTATGACACAATCTCAGTCTAATTTGTAGATTTTTAGTTCCTTTGCAAGCTGTACACATGATACACTTAAAAATGTCTTGGCTATGCCCCTGATATCTGCATACCTGAATGTGAATGTTTGTGGTTTTCAGTAATTGGATGTGATGGAGTTGGGGGATGCTGGATATCCTTGAATTGCTTCGAATCACGGTTGTTGTGATCGATCATGGTGTTCCTTGAACCGGAAATAAGCGACAATGCTTTATTGTGAACTAAAATTGCAGCAAAAGAACAGGATCATTATATATTTTCCTTACACTCTCTCCAGAATTAGTTTGGACATGAAGAGAAGCTTGGGTTTCAGTATGGGTCACTGACACCTTGGTTATTCTCAGGTGTGTATTTATGCAACACTGAATTCTCAGATGCGACTGGCACATTCTGCACTCTGTCACAATCTTGGATCATACTAAGAGATTAGCCTTCCTGTTTTCAGACAGCCGTGTTTCCTGCATCATTTCTCTTAAACCACTCACCGACATCCGCGTTATGTGTGTGTTGAGCATTGACCTGGCTTGACATGAATGGGGGGTTCACCTTAAGCGTTTTGACTTGATTGAACGTCAAATGACCACGTTCTTGTCATCGATGAGGTCAATTTGAGATTATCCCAGGCAGACGTTCTATTACCAGGCACTGCATTGCCGACAACTACTAAAAATTTGCGTGCCGCCAAATTATTGATTTCGCAATTTCATTGTTACTTCATGTTAGTTCAGTGGGTACAGCTGACGTATTTCAACTATGGGGTGCTTTGATTTTGTGCCAAAACGGCCCGAGTTTGAAGTGAAGTCTAAGGAGAAGAACATCCCCTCGGGTTCTGGAGAGGATAATGCATCAGCCGTGAATTCAGGTAGCTATGGTCCATCGGATTCAAGCATCAAGGGTGATTTTGATGCTCTGTCGTCATCAGAGTCTGTTCTCATCAACCCTCCGGGTAACCAGTTTTCACAAAGTGGTTCACTTCGGAAACCAAACGATCTCAGAGATTTCACATTCCATGAGCTTAGATATGCAACTAAGAATTTTGATAGGAAAAGTCTCTTGGGAGAGGGCGGATTCGGTCAAGTGTTCAAGGGCACAATTAGGCAGAAACAGAATTTTGGCGGAGGAGAAGAGAAAATAGATGTTGCCGTGAAACAACTGAATTCTCGGGGTGAACAGGTATGTCTACCCGTGTAACACACATCATTATTAAAGTGTTACACTCGTTGGGCGTCATAGATGGATAATCTGGCTTGACTGACATCTTCGGGTTGAAAAGTTTTAGGGTTTTGATAGAATATTGTTACATGAAGGCCGAGGCAGACATTGAAAATGAGTTAGGTTATGATATGCTTGCCTAGCCCGTTCGTTCCCGTTTACAATGTCAGTAATGGGGTGAAAATCGATCGAGTCGCTGCCGCATGTAATCAAAGTGGAAATGCGTCAGCTTTTTATATTGTTTTTATGAGGTAATTGAGGCTGATTCTTTGTGTCGTGCTAATCGGTCTTTAACGGGGCTACTAATCAAGCAATAGTACATTCCTCTTAGGATTGAGATTTCGGTTTCGAAAGTGTAGTTAACTTCTTGAGAAGTATAGTGAGAGATTTTCTGAGTTAGAATATTATCCTCCGTGTACCAATTTCTTGCAGGGCCATAAGGAGTGGCTAGCGGAGGTGCATTTTTTGGGGCTGGTGGATTCCCCACATTTGGTGAAGCTCATAGGGTACTGTGCAGATGATACCGATGAAAGAGGAATTCAAAGATTGTTGGTGTATGAGTTCATGCAAAATAAGGGTCTCGACGATCACTTGTTTCGACCGGGACCAAATTCTCTCTCGTGGCCCACAAGGGTAAAGATAATCTTGGGAGCAGCGCTAGGTCTTGCCTACTTGCACGAAGATATGGAGTTCCAAGTAAGTAGCAAATCATATTTGGTTGGATTTCTAAAATTAGAGGAAGCTTCTCAACAGGATTTTCCGGAGAATGTTGGATATTGCCTGCTGACTAGATTTACTTATTTTTGAGTTACATTATGCAATGATTTGATTTACTTCAGCTGATGCTATGCAAGCAAGTATAGTTTTGAAGGAAAGCTCGCATCAAATCTTAAAGATCCTAGCAAATGCCTTGCGTTGCCATGTAGTTATTGATAAGTTTACAATTGGTTTCATGATATGTTTGACGGTTTTCTAGATCATTTTTCGTGACTTCAAGACTTCAAATGTGTTATTGGACGAAGATTTTAACTCAAAGCTGTCAGATTTTGGGCTTGCTAGACATGGTCCTCAAGAAGGCTACAGTTATGTCTCTACTGCGGTAAGACGGTGTTCCCATCTCCTTTTGAGTTCACATAGCTTGGTTGATTTGGAACTGATATGCAATGATGTTCAACGAACTAAAGTGATTAGCGTAACATAAATCGACCTGCTAGCTGAGGCTTGAGATTATAACCCAAATTGTTAATATTTAAAGACGATGTTGTAGGATGGTTGGCAAAAAGTTAAGTCTAGTCTGGATTGGGTGGTGTAGATAGTTGGCACAGCAGGATATGCGGCACCGGAGTACATACAGACAGGTCATCTCACTATGAAGAGTGATGTGTGGAGCTTCGGCATTGTCATGCTGGAGGTGCTAACTGGAAGAAGAGTCATGGATAGAAATCGGCCAAGGAATGAACAGAGATTAGTAGAATGGGCGAGACCCTTCGTCAATGACCATCACAAACTCTATCAAATAGTTGATCCTGCTCTAAACAACAACTATCCAGCTAGAGTAGTGCAGAAATTTGCGCAGCTAGCGTATCAATGTCTAAACAAGGTTCCAAAAAGTAGACCAAGGATGAGTGACGTAGTGGAAAAGCTGAAGATTGTGCAAGAGAGAACCCTTCACTGGGAATCTACGCCCTCTCAATCTCCGTTACATAAGGGCAGGGTGTCAACAGAGTCTCGGTCTTTGAGCGCTTCACAAGAACTTTCAAGACCATCCAAAGGAAGTCCCATAGGTCTACCCCTTGGCTTGTCAGGTATCCAAATCGGCAAACCAACAAAGTCTGGCTCAGAAGTATTCGGTAATGTAGATGTATCACATCGAATATCAAATCTGATTTCAGAAGGTTCGAGCCATTCTCCAAAGTCTGTTGGCACATCAGCAGCAGGAAGTTCAACGGCAGCCAATATAGAAGGGGAGAAACACACTCTTGGAAAAGCTGGGAAGGAGCCGAACTTGGTGGAGAATGTCGTTGAGGGACGAAAGCATGAGGACTCGTCTGGAGGTAATCCAATAGCTACATCAGATACTGCAAAGAAAAGATCACGAGCAGGCCTTGACAGATTGGCAAGAATGAGTCGAGAGAGTGGCCGGTTTAATTGGATTCCGCGGCTTTCCTTCTCCACTAACGCCCATTAGTGTAACTTGGGGTTGATGGGATGTCGGGTGCACTGCATGTGACAAATGTCTTGGCAGTGAATTACATAATACTTTACCATAAGCTGGTTGTTCAAGATGTACAAGACATATTGACACATGACAGACTAACATTAATCTATTGTTAGATTTGTTAATTCTTTGTACAGTAACTGGGTGTCCAAGGATTTACTGTAAGTTAACATGTGTTCTCTGGCTTATGTTTGTCCGGGATTCATGTCAGTGACTGGATCCCTTGCATTTAGCGAGTGAAAAGTGCCATCAGCATAAGCTAACTTTTCTGAGTAGAATATCAGCATCAGCACAGTTTTTAAACGAATTTGGGTGTAGCAGTGACCCGTATTTACTGATTGAAGAACATTCCATGAATGAACTAAATTCAAGCGCAAAGTTATACGCTCCATCTGGAAGGGTGATTATACACATACACAGAAAGAGTAAACCAAGTTACATCAAATACAGGATCTGTACATCCTCGCAAGGCCGAGCCACAAAGGCCTAGATTGCGCAGGCCCTCATGCCTTTTCAGTAAGTTACAATTTACTAATTATGCATACCTTGAAAAAATATCCTGACACTTTCTAATTTTAATTTCAGAAAAAATCTATCAATGCAACTGAATGCTGGTGGTTGGCTGCAAGAACGGCAGCTGCAGTATGCATTTGGATGCCTTCTCTTCTGCTCAGTGTTGCATGTACCCTGCACACTTCAACACCAATTAGAAGGCATCCGAAAATACTCCAAAAGACTCAAGATTATCTTCCGGAAATTGCTGGACCTTAAAGCCAAATGTATTTCTTCAATTTGGAAACCAATGTCTACTGCTTCGTCTGCAGTCTCCTAGTGAAAACCCATCGCAGGGACAGCTCCAACTCTCCGCTAAATCAACTTCGGATATCTCGCAAACTACAGTGCTCATAAGATCCCATCCTGAACGTGAAACTGCCTACTGTTGGCAATGTGTTCTGAGATAATAGAAACGATGGCTCTCCAGCTCTCCAGCGCTCCATGAGCAATTATGAACGCCCCAAGTGATCATGCCATGTATTTGTTACTCTAACGACCATACAAGAAACAAAGACCAATCAAACGTTACTAACGACCAAAACCGTGAACATGCTTGGAAATGTCATTGGGACTCTATCTGTCGGTAATCGAACTCTTGGACCACCTCATACATGTCGTCCAACTTCATTTATGCTACAACAAAAACTCCTACATGCCGTTGCCAAATCATCTTTGGGAGGAAAACATCAGCTATTCAAGGAAAGAAAGAACCAAACCCAGGCCCAAACACGTACGTTTACAACAGAAAGCTGTCGCATCTTCCCTTCTGACCTTACTTCCCAGTATTCATCATAAGCGTAATGTTGTCCCCCTTGAGCAATATCCGACCTAATGGCTTCCGCGTGTTCTTCTTGAGCGAGACTTCCTCAGCCTCCTCGAGCACCAAGTTCATGTACTCATCGAACCCAATGATGCGGCCCTCAATGCGCATATCCTTCTGCTCAAAGAGCCATATCTGAATCCTGGACTTACTCTGCAGAAAACGAAATATAAGATTGATGGGCTGGGTCATAATCCGCTGCACCTTGGTCGCCATTGCGTCAGACTTTCCAAAGATACCTTTTACTAGGAAAGAAAAATAACGGGTAAGCTGACAAATGAGAAGTTGCAAAAGGAAGCTTTCCACTGTTGTAGCGTCTGCAAAATCCAATGGCTGTACCGAGGCCAAGCAAAGTAGCGAAAAATAAGTAAACCTTATTAGGGTTTTGCACGTAATGTTGGTCAGCCTTATTGGTCAAAACTCGACACGTTGGTCTGTTTCGTGGAAATTCAATGCCATTACAGCAAAAATAACTATTTTAGGGTTTACGAAACAACGAAGTATATCCAACTTGATGAGTGGAATAGGGCATGCTTTTTGGGCACGCCTTGTACATTGCAACTCTAGTAACATACTCAGAATATCATTTAGAAGGTGAGAAAATTATTCTTTGCTAAAGAAGGAAGACATGTGAATTACTATCGTATTTTTCAATGTTCTTTTTGCCTTTAGCTATCGTGGGATGCTTTATCTCTTGGCGCATTTTTTGAAATCTGTGTTAATTCATCTCCCACAGGACAAGGCCTCTAAAAGTCCCAATTACGAGAAGTGTAAAAAAATTAATTTCTTATCTCTACATACAATACTGTAGAAAAAATAGCATTTTAATATTTTATTTACTATTATTATTATTATTATTATTATTATTTTGAGGACCTTTGGATTTATTTATCTAAATATAGGACCAGCTAGGAAACCTTCTTAATTTAAACCAATAAAAATATTCAAAAGTTGAGTCCTCTCACTTTGTCCCCTAAGTATAAAGTGTTCTGTATCCAAGTATAACCGTTTACATTGAAATCCTGACCACAAAATGAGAAGACAACTCCACGTGGAATACACATCGACGCACTTCAAAAAGAGAATGAAAAAGCATGCGGAGAAGAGGGCGATTCTGTGTGGAACGGCCCTCCATCGTCCTTGGCGAAAGCACGAACTCGGGCTCACTTGCTCACTCCAGCGATGGCGCGTTATCCCAATCCAGTTGCAACAGCTTTTGAAATCCTGGGCGTTCGGTGATGGCATCGGTGTAAGCCCACACATAAGGGTGATGCCGAAGAACCTCCGCCTTCATAATCTTCACTTGGTACAAGTAGGGGGTGTGGCAGGCATCGGCAAAGTTGTACTCATCGCCGGTGAGATACTTGCTGCCCTTTACGAGATGGGCCTCGTACACGTCCAACACCTTGACCAGCGCCGCGGTGCAAGACGCCACCAGCTCTTCGTCCAGAGGGCGGTTCAAGGCGCCGGCCACGTATAGCTCCTTCAGCATAGGCGCTAGAGGCGGGTACAAGACGTGGGCCTCCGTCTCAACCCACTGGTTGATGGCTGCTCTTTCCTTCAATGTCCTGCCCATATTCGGCGCCCCTTGGCCTTCGTACTTCTCAGCTATGTATCGCGCTATGGCGCGTGACTCTGCAACACAAGGCACAAGGCACAAGGCACAATTCAGGACTTCCGACTTTGTGGAAGTCGGAACTTTCAGAAGGTCCGGTATCAGCCAGGTAGCGTTCTCACCATAGATCTTGACGTCGCCATCCTCGAGGTATGGAATTAGTCCAAAGGGCTGCAGGCATAGTCACACCACAGACAACGAAGCACATGGTTTAGCGGCTGCAGCAAGCTCGCAAGCGCAGTGTACACAATCGCCCAATTCTACCAAGTATTTCCGAGCAAGATATCCTTACATGCTTCGCCAAGAAGTTGGGTTTGTCATTGTCGTGAGTGAACAAGTTCACATGAACCAACTCCAGTTCTTTTTCAGTGCCCGCCTACAAAAAATATAACACACGACGTATAAGACCATGCTGAGCAAGTCCAGGAACTCAATTTCAGCTGCTTTAGCAAAGTCAATTTCTGTTCCACCAAGAAAATTGCTGCACCAACGCACACAAACATTCACAACCGAGAACAAGCACACGAAAAAAGTCCCAAGTAGAACTGCGTGCATCATCAACCTCGAAGAGCGGCACAATGGCGCGCTGCACATTGAAAATGTTCTTCATGCCATACAACTTCATCACCATGGCCGCTGGATTCCTGCGTGGAGGCAGTGCCGGTAGGATCCTCGACACTAGTCCGCTTCAACACCTGCGACCAACCTGTATCTTCTTACAGTGCTCACCCTACTTCGACGAATAGATTCCAGTGGAATTCTTGATGGCTTGAAATGCAGTTCGAAATGGAAAGAGCTGCCTTTGAGCCGTGTAGACAATGTCATCGGCGCTGCAGCTCTGATCCAGTAACGTTGTGATTCCGTCACAGCTGAGTTCAAAGATTTCTCTCCTATTGTGTGTTGATAGGCTAGAATTCAACGTGCTGATCAGAGAGTAAAGCATGTGGGGCAACGCTGTAGCCCCCATTTTGTTATTGTTCTGATAAAAACATGGTTATCACATGCTTGGTTTGGGCTCCATGAAGGCGTCTTCCTTGGACGAAGTCAACAGTGCGTGTACACTGCGTCAGCATCACGTATGCCAGTGAAAAGCTTGAAATATTGTCAGTTAGACTCTCATTAGCAGTATGCCATGTACATTCTTTTGCTTGCTCTTATTGCAACTAAGGAGGGGGATAGATGTTGCAATTTTGTGAAAGCCGTCAATGAAGTCTAAGATACAGAGGTGGAGTGAGTTAATTACGAAGCATTTTGAAGTAGGTTTAGGACTTAGGTGCCATAATATGGATAAAGAGACAAGACAAGAAATACTTTAGACCTCCTTTATTCCTTGTGTTCTGAATAATCTTGTTCCCAATTCAATATATAATGATTCTTGTATCACAATATATAAGTTTTATTTATTTTTTTATTAAGTTAACTTAAAATATCACAAAAATGTAAAATTTTTAGAATTAAATATTAATCTAAACTTCAAGTTGTTTGAAGTTGTAATAATAGCTTTTTGAAATCAAAATACTATTTAATATTATAAATTACATTAGTGTTTTGATTCAATTTGTTTGTGTTTTTGTTTGTTTGTTTGTTTGTTCTTTTTTTTGTCTTTTTATTTTCATTTATTATTATTATTTTATTTTAATATTTTTTTTCATTTTTTTTTCATTTTTTTTTTATAAATCAATATGCATATATAAAATTCTAATAACATCATAAATTTGTATATGGTTTGTATTTTATAATTAAAATTTTATATTAATATTAATATTAATATATATATATATATATATATATATTGGTTATAATACCAGATACAATATAAATATAATATTGATATATGTATGGATACAATGTTAAAGATCGTACGAAGTGGTCATTGATTGATGCCAGATATCATCATTCAATTATTGATACAAGGTATTGGAATGTAAGTACCGCTAGCCTTAATCATCATGGTAAGATTGTTGTAATATGATTTTAGCTTAGATTCCAATTTGTATTTTTATTTATTTATTTATTTATTTTTCTTTCTTTCTTTCTTTTTTACCTTTTTATTGGAAAAGCTTGAAGCTTTGAAGGTGGTGGCAACTAGTCAAAGTTGAGTGTTTGTTTTGTTACTTTGTTTTGTTCTTGTTCTCTGATAGGGCTAAGCCTTGTTGCATCCTATTCTTTCTTTTGCCTCAATGTAAGTGTTGCAGTGTAGTATATAGAGTAGCAGTAAGAGAGGTACTATAATATTTGGTTCATCATCTTTTTTGTAGAATTGCCAAATCATATCATTAGAGCTTTGTAGTTGCATAAAATCTATAGTTGAGCCTTAATCTCCTTCTATCTTTGTTCTTGTATTGGAAGAGCTTCTATATTGTTGTTTTGGTTGATCTTTTATAGTTTAAATTTTTTATAGATACTATTGTAGCAACATTTGGAAGATGTTGTGGTACAATGTTGTGAAAATTGTCATCAAATTGATGGATATTTTATTTCTTAGATATATGCCCTTACATTAGAAAGGTAATTTTGTGCCCGAGCATTTATTAAGGACAAAAATTCTATGAAAGAAAATAAAAAAGAGAGACTTTCTCAAAAAAATATGAAAAATTTAAAATAAAAAAATATATATATTAAAAAAATTAGAATGGTTATTGTCAAAAGATAAGAAAACTAGAAACTTCTTGAAACTAGACTTGAAATAAGAAAGGAGTTGACAAGAGTGAATAAGGTTTATTTTTTTGCCTCTGTATATACTATCTATCTAAGACCTAAGTAACGACATTCTATAAGATCTCTAAAACCTGTTGACTTTGTACGACATATATCTTAACTTGCAAGGTAAAATTTCTACATAAGTGCTATATGATTAGCTTGTGTCATGGATATATATACATGTAAACCAATAATTACCTATATGATTAGATAAAAGTAGATAAAAGTAAGTTAATTTCATAATGATTAAAATAAAAGTAGATTAATTCTTTAAAGTTTTCTATAAAAGCTTCCTAAAAGCTTTATAGATGCTACTTTGTCTTTATAGGTATCTATAATTAATTTTTTAGGTTAGAAACATGGTCAACAAGTTGGTCATGTACCACACATATTGGTAGCTTAAAGAATAAGCTAACTATGTAGCTTACACATAGAAAACTTGCCTTGTAAGCTAAAGCATGTGTCTTGCAAAGTCAACACATATTAAAGGTCCTATAAAACATTGTCATGTAGCTCTTAATTAGATAACATATATAGAGGCAAAAGTGAAGCCCTCTTCACTCTTGTCAATTCTTTTCTTGTTTCTAGTGTAGATTTAAGAGTCTCTAGTTTCTTTGTCTTTTGGCAATAGCCATTCTAATTTCTTTTTAATAAATATACTACTTTATTGTTATTTTGTCACTTTTTTTTTAACATAGATTTTCTAGTTTTATGTATCTTCTTCCAATTCATGTCTTTGACAGCTTGTTCTATAGGCTAGTATTATATATAATACGTGATTAACTTGTTGATCAAGTTTCTAACATATCAATCAATTCCACATATATATAAAATCAAAGCAACATCTATGAAGCTTCTTTAGAAGAAATTATGAAATTAATCTATTTTTATCTAATTCTAAATATTTATATAATCTGTATTATAATTATAATAAATATATGTCCATGATATTATCTCCTCTTTTAGAAACGAGTTCCACAAAGAGTAGTGATTACATGTTGAAGAAGTATAAGATGTACTGAATTATATTTGCCATGTACTTTGATCTTTGTTTCCCTTAAAGGTAGTTGATAGATATTTTTTTCAAACATATCCTAAAAATCTTAATATTTACTAAGAATGCTATTTGAAGTTTTTATACCATTAGAAACAAGTGCGATATAAATGACATAAGATGATCCTTCTTTTATAGCACTTTAATTATTATACTCTTAATTACTACACTCTTAATTATACTTTCAAAAAATTCAAGACTACAAGAAATCCAATCTATTTGACGATTGTACTTTTTTTTATCCACAATAAATCTAAAATAACTGAATTAGAAAGAAATTTAATAATATTAAAAATTACAAAGCTAGTATGACCATTAATTATTACTTCTAGAAGAAATTTTTCATGAATAATGTCTCCAAAGGATAATAGATGACAATCTATGACTTCTATAAGAACAAATTTTGTTTTTTTTATTAAAGATATATTATATCTTTTAAAAAATTTTTTTTTATCTAAAAACAAGGTGAGGCTCCAAAATCTAGCAAGACAAAGGCTTTGTGATGTTTAGGTCCTAAATTGATATCTATTGTAAAACAAGGAGAAGGTTTTGAGAAGAGAATAGGTCTTTCATTAGATATTGTGCCAAGTTCTAGGTGCAAGGTTTCTAGTGTAGGTTGTCAAGGACAAGAACTCAATGAAAAAGTAATTCAGACAAGTAAGCCTTCACTCAGAAAGGTAACAAAATATAAATAAACAAGTATGTATATTGAAAGAGAAACTAGAATGGCTATTACTAAAAAACAAGAAAACTAGAGACCCTTGAAACTAGATTGGAAGCAAGAAAGGAATTGACAAGAGTGAAGAAGGCTTCACTCTTATCTCTATATATAGTATCTAACTAGGAGCTATGTGGTGACGTTCAATAGGACCTCCAATATATGTTGACTTTGTAGGATACATGCCTTGACTTACAAGGCAAGTTTTTCTATGTGTAGGCCATATAGTTAGCTTGGTCTTCAAGCTAACAACACGTGAGGCACATGACTAACTTGTTGACCACGTTTCTAATCCGAAAACTCATTTAAAGACACCTATGAAGTCAAAGCAGCATCTATGAAGCTTCTAGGAAGCTTCCATATTAAATACTTATAGAATTAACTTACTTTTATGTACTTTTACTTACTTCCATCTATTTGTATATAGAATTACTAGCTTACATGAGTATGTCGATGACATTATCCCCCCTTCTAGGGACGAGTTCCACGAGGAGCGATCATCATATGTTGAAAAATCTATTATGCGACAAATTATATTTGCCACATACTCTAATCTTTGTTCTCTTCGAAGATGATTGATAGGACCTCTCAACTATTGGTAGTGTCCCATACTAAGGCGGGAAGACCACCCAATTATTTGATCATTTTTGAGGCCTTCATAACTTCTTTCGAATAGAACATTTGGAACACCATCAAGAATTGTTCTTACCTCTAGTAAAACCACCAAACATCGGGAGTCCTTTCCCAAATTGTGATAGCAAACGCCTTGTATCTCGCCATTTATTCGAGGAAGAACATGTCGTTCTTGAAGATCTTCATCTCGATTGCGTCATCTTGAAGGTTGTGAAAATCATAATGTCTCATCCGGCAGGTCAGCAAATGAAGGCTCTTGAGTTGAATCCATTGGTTGTTGGTTTTCCATCTCCTGAGCATTACAACTACAAAGAAGCTAGGAACAAAGATTGAAAGTAGAATATTATCTTGCCTAGATGTTGTTTCTTTTATAAAAAAGGTTTTCATCTTGATTTTGATGGATGTCTTCGATGAAAAGTCTCCACTACCTTTGCTGCATTTCCAAGATTCTTTATTGGCTCCCATGTGCGTTCACTAATATCATATCCGTGCCAATGGACAAGATATTCCAATTTATTTCGGTGTCGCCTTGAATCTAAGACTTCTTCTACTTCAAACTCTTCATTATTGTCTACTTCTATAAGAGGAGGTAGAGCTTGTCGTCTTTTTAATATGTCCACTATCTTCTATGGTTCAAGAAGAGACATGTAGAATACTAGATGGATTTTTATTGACTCCAGTAGATATAAATGATATGCAACTGGATTGATTTGTGCAGAAATAGAAAATGGTCCAAGTCTTTGATAGTCTAACTTGTCACAAGGACGAGTGGTCTTGATATTGCGACAAAGTAGCCATACCTTATCACCCAAGAGGAATGGTGATTGTTCCTTTTGATAGACATCCGCATTGACCTT